TTTTCTACTAAGGAGTTTTATCATACCTTTCCCCCTTCATATTTATTGTTTGAAAGTGTATGAATTATATTGGTTTTCAGACACTCAAACACATACTGTTTTGTAATGTGAATTAAAGTTGATAATGTGTAATTACAATGTCTTATCAATTTAGGGAGCTCTGGTGGTCTAGTGGCAAGAAGCTGCACTGCAATCCTTAAGGCATGCTGTTTGAGGCCACCAGCGGCTCCACAGGAGAAGGATGGGAGCTCTCCTTCCACGTGATTAAATGCCTCTGAAAACCCGCCTGAGGGCCAACTATGGGTTGGTTCCAACTTGACAACATAACAACAACATCAAATTCTTATTGTATATTGCCTTACCCTTCATCCAACTTAGCAATTTTTTGCTCCTTCTCTTTCCCCTTTTATCACTGTTAACCCTCCAAGATTCATTCTGTGTGTGAATCTTTCTTTAGCCTTTTATATCGTTGGTCTTATACCACAATTATCCTTTTGTTACTCAGCATAATTTGTTCTAGTTTCATCCATGTTGTGCAGTATTTAACAAATTCTTGATTAGTTGTTGTTGTTGTTATGTGCTGTCAAGTCAACTACGACTCAATGGATTAACCCCACAGATTGGCTCTGGACTCTCCTCTGTCCTGAGCCAATCTCACTGTCTCTGACACACCTTCCGTCACTAACCCAGTTATTCTGTCAATTCATCTCATCTGGGTTCTTCCTCTCCTGTCCCTCAACTCTTGGAAGCATAATATCCTTCTCAAAAGACTGGCCCCACCTGGCAACTTGTCCAAAAGTATGTCAGAGTCTCAAAATCCTTGCCTCCAAGGAGCAGCTTAGTTTCACCCTCTCCAGAACAGATCTGTTTGTTCTCTTGACAGTCCACGGTATGTATGTTCAACACTCTTCCCCAGCACCACAACTCAAAGCACCACAACATCAATTCTTCTATCATCCTTGGTCATTGTCCAGCTCTCTGATGCATAGCAAGTAATTGCAAACATTCTTACTCTTTGGAGAGATCCCTGACAGCAGATTTTCCTAGTGCAATTCATCTTTTGATTTCCTGAGTGCTGATGCCAAGAATGTTGATTGTGGAACTAAGCAAGCTGAAATTGTTAACAATCTCAATCTCTTCTCCATACATCATGATGCTGCCAATTAATGATGCATAAAACTCCACTGTGTGAACACACAATTCTCTTCAGCAATTTATCTACTGAAGGACACTTGGGTTGTTTCCAATTCTTTGCTCTTGTAAATAATGCTGCAATAAACATGATTTGTTTGTATGCCAGTGTGTGACACAGCTCTTATTTCTTTGAGATGTATAGACAGTAGTGAGATTGCTGGATTGTATGGTATATCTATTCCCAACTTTTTAAGATCACTTGTTCATAAGGATAAGAGTCACAGCTGGCTTGACACACCTTAACAAGAGGTGTGCTGTGCAATGGGACTGACTGACAAGCAGTTTGAAACCATGAGCTCTGCAGGAGAGAGGTGAGGTGAACTCCCTCAGTAGAAATGTACTGTCTCAGAAGCCAATGGAGGGTTGCCTTGACTTGGCATTGACTGGAGAGCAGTGGGTTTTGGGGTTTGGGTCTAAGGGGTATAAAGAATGATGCTGTGTCCCTAATGCCTGAACTAAAACAGTACACAGCACTGCTGTCTGCCTTGAACGCTGCCCTGGCTGCTTTCTCCAAAAGACGGATAAGTACCTAATCTCTGATTGTCCATCTGTAACACTGGCAAGAAAGGTAGAAGAAGCACCTACTTTGGGTGCACCATTTTTAAGAATTAGGCAAATTAGTGAGGCTAATACTACGAGTGGTGTTGTTGTTGTTATTGTTGTTACTATGTGCGGTGGAGTCAGAACTGACTCATAACTGGCCCTCCAGGAGGTTTTCAGACTGTAAATCACAAAAGAGGAGATGGCCCATCTTTCTGCCAAGGAGCAGCTGATGGGTTCAAACCATGTGTCTTTGGGTTGACAGCATAACTCTTTACCCACTAGGCCACCAGATTTCCTATCTATTACTATTTAGTCATTCAAAGGCCGAGCATAGTATTACATGATATTTTGCCCGGTTCTAGAGATACTAGCAGTTACACTTCACTGTGTGGATCATAGCAAACTGTGGCTGACTCTGAGAAGAATGGGAATCCCAGAACATTTAATCGTGCTAATGTGAAACCTATACTTGGACCAAAAGACAGTCATCAGAACAGAGCAGGGTAACACTGTGTGGTTCAAAATTGGGAAGGGTGTACACCAGGGATGTGTCCTATATCCATACCTTTTCAACCTATATGCAGAGCAGATTATCCGAGAGGCTGGGCTCTATGAGGAGAAGTGTGGCGTCAGGATTGGTGGAAGATCTATTAAAAATCTGCATTATGCAGATGACACAACCCTGCTTGCTGAAACTGAGGAGGACCTCATGCACTTGCTTCAGAGGGTCAAGGACTGCAGCCTTCAGTATGGACTGAGGCTCAATGTCAAGAAGACAAAGATTCTCACCACTGAACCAATTGGTAGCATCAGGATGGATGGTGAACAGATTGAGAGTGTTCACAGCTTCAGTTTGCTCAGCTCCACGGTCAACACTTGGCACCAGCAGGCAGGAAATAAAAAAACGTATTGCAATGGGGAAGTCTGCTGTTAGGGACCTCACTAAAGTACTCACGAGCAATGGTGTGTCTCTGGAGACTAAGGTGTGTCTGATACAGGCCATGGTCTTTGCAATCACTTGTTATGCATCAGAGAGTTGGACAATGACTAGGGAGGATAGGAGAATTGATGCCTTTGAGCTGTAGTGCTGGAGAAGAGTATTGAATGTACCATGGACTGCCAAGAAAATAAACAGAATCATCCTGGAGAGGGTTAAACCAGGCTACTCCTTGGAGGCAAGGATTCTGGGGCTTTGTCTGACATACTTTGGCCATGTTGTAAGGGGGGACAGGTCTTTGGAGAGGGACATCATGCTTGGGAGGGTGGAGGAAGGAAGGGAAGACCCTCTATGAGGTGGATTGATTCAGTGACTGGGGTAATCGGGATGGGTGTGTCAGAGGCAGTGAGATTAGCGCAGGATAGAGCAGGGTTTAGGGCTGTTGTACATAGGGTCGCTATGAGTCGCAAGCAACTCGACCGCACATAACAACAACAACAACAATAACCCTGTTCAGTCTGGTGTCCCGAATGAAGAAGGTGCTTCAGGGGCTTGCGGGAGTGGGTAGAAGCCCTGGTGGCACAAACCTGGTGGTTAATGTGTTCAGCTGCTAACTGAAAGGTGATCTATTTGATGCCACCCGCTGCTCCTGCGGTAAAGATGTGGCACCTGCCTCAGTTAAGATTCATAGCGTTAGAAACACTGTAAGGCAATTCTACCCCGTGAGTCCCATGCACTCCGTGGCAGTGGGTTGGGGAGTGGGTGGGCTGTGTGCTGTGTAGGACAAGTGTAATCCTGCTGAGTGCCGCAGGGATGACTGGAAGAGTTTTCGCCCTCTGATACAGCTTGTTCTGTCTGCGGGAGGATGGAGAGGAGCACTGGGTAGGTGGGCGTGTTCCTCCATGCAGGCTCGCAATGCGAGCAGGCAGGCGGCCGGCAGGGGGCGCGAGAGGACCAGCCACGCGGCTGAGGGCAGTTGCTGCTCCCCTAGGTTGGCTGGAGACCCACACCCCACCTGGAAGAGACCCAGCTGGAAACCCACAATCCCACGTGGAGGAGACCCACCGCCCTACCTGGGTTCCCCTTCCATGCAGGGAGCCAGGAAGCATGGGGGCATCTGCGTGAGGACTAGGGGAGGTGGAGGGCGTCAGTTATCTCCCAGCCAGAGCCTTGCCTGGAGCCCACATCCAGACGTTGGACCTAAAGCCAAATAAGCGTGTGCATTTAACCCGGCAGGGTCAAAGAAGGAGCCGTCATTAACTAATAATAAAAGCATTTGCAATGTGTGAAATACACGTGACCCGGTTTTGATATTTCTTGAAAAATTTATAATCCAAGAAGCTCACAGTGGGGCAGTTGGTCTCTATGTTCTTGCCTTTCTGGGTGCCTCTCCCTCAGCGCTGATTGCTGAGTCAGAACTGACTCGTAGCTGACCAGCCAATGGGTTTTCAGAGGCTGTAAATCACACACGAGGAGGTTGCCCATCTTTCTCCAGAGAAGCAGCTAAAAGGGGTAGCGATAGGGAGCTCTGGCAGGTAGTAAGGAATTGCACTGCCAACCAGAAGGCCTGTGGTTTGAATCCACCAGCTGCTCTGCTGGAGAAAGATGGTCAGTTTCCTCCACCGTGACTTACTGCCTCTGAAAACCCTCTGGAGGGTCAGCTATGTGTCGGTTCTGACTCAATGGTACAGCAATGGCAGCAGCAGGTGGTGGATTCAAACCAGCTGCCTATGTGTCTGTAGCACATCTCTTTATCCACTAAACCACCACTTTGTTCCTCTGCCCACTCCATCCCACCTCCTCTCCTCCTTTCTCCTAGACCACCTGTCAGAGGCCCACCTGAGCCCAGCAGGTGCTCAGGATTTGGTTCTCTCATAAAGATAACCCCCTTGATCCATTATGTCAGCCAAGCCACCAGCCCTGCCACCCAACGCTGGGTGTGATGACAACCAGCATCTACTCAGGCCTCACTTCCTCCCAGAGTTCCTCAGGAGCGAGGGTGGAAGCAGGAAGTAGAATCCTCGCAAGAGGGTCATGGGGCAGGGGTCAGAAGGCAAATTTGGTTTCCCTGCAGTCCAGAGAACCAAACAGCTTGTTGCCAGGTAACCAGAACATCTTATCACTGGCCAGCACATCATCCTGGACAGTCAAGTCTGTCTCCAGCCATCTTGGACTGAGCTTCTAATCTGAGACTCCCTCTATACGCTTAGGAGACAAGAAGCAGGGGCAGGAGGGAACGCAGAGCCCTGCCATCACTTCTGGGGACCCGACACCCACCATTTCAGTGTGAAAATCCAGCTGCCTGGGCTGGGGGGCCACAGCAGCCATGAGTCTGGGAATCATGGAAGAGGAAGATCTGGCCGAGTACTTCCGGCTGCAGTATGGGGAGCGGTTGCTACAGCTGCTACAGTGAGTACTGGGGAGCCCGGACCCACCACCCCACCAGCCTGTGCCCGCCTCTAAGTCATCTTGCCCCATCAGCACTGGTCCACCTCCATCATCCTCATTCATACACCCTTACCACTTTGTCCTGGTTCACTCCCTGAACACTAGCATGCTTTTCTTCTTCACACTCTTGCCCTTTCATTTAGGTGGAGGGAGAGGACTCCTTTCTCCCTGTGCATATCTAGCTCCACTAGTTAGCACCCAGTCCCACCCTGCACCGAGCATCCAGGGCCCACATGCCCCTCCTGCTGGTGTCTTGAGCAGGAAGTTCCCCTCCATTGAGGAGCAGTTGGAGTCTCCATCCATTCGGTTATTGGAGAAGAAGAAGGAGGCCAAGGTCGTGCACCAAGCCATGGAGGAGAAGAAGGAGGTTCGGCAGAGGGGACAGGGCACAACAGGTCCACGTCTCTGGTGCTACCACTGTACTGCAATGTGCTGCTCCGAGCCGGCCATGGGGTAGAGGAGGGAGGCCCCATAGCCCGGTACATACCCTCCCAGGCCTGGGGATGGGAGCTGTGGGCAGGGGACACTGGGACCTTCCTCATGGGACATGTATCTGGGCCTTCACGACCACTCTACATTCCCCAACCTCTAGACATTTAAACGCAAGATGGAAGCCTTGAATCTGCGCTGGGAGGAACTTGGCATCAAGGAGGCCCAGCTGAAGTCTCACATCCAGAAGTTTGAGCAATTCATCCAGGTGTGTCGGGGTATGGCCCGCAGCACCACCCGGAGGGACCCACACTCTGCAGACTGGCAAATTGCCCTCTCCTCTCTCCTCCCCTTGCCCCTTCTTCCCTTCCTCTTCCTATTCTCTCTCCTTTCTCCTTCCCCTGCCAGTCATCCTCTCCTTCTTCCTTCCTTTACCCCCTGCTTCTCTCCCTTCTCCTTTCTTCCTCCCCTCCTCATTCTCCTCCTCCTCCAGCCACCTCTCCCCACCCCACCCCCCACCCCTGCACCTCTCACTTTGACTGACTTCTTTCCCCAGGCTAGATGTCTGGACAGTGATCCAGCAATGCTAGATACTTCCTCCTTCCTGTTTGCCTGTCTATCTCTGCCCTCCCCAGTCCCCAGACTGCCATTCCTTTTTAACTTGCTGGTATCCAGTGAATGAGTGAATGAATACATCAGAATTAAAGTTGGGCACTTGCGGTTCCCACCCTGCCCCGCATTCTTACGCTAAGCATCCAGACAGGAAATGCTCACAGGAGCAGACACCACAGTCTATTCCCAGACAGCATCATTCAATGAGTCCTTGAGGAGAGATTCCATCATCTTCAATCCAGCCGGCACTTATCGAACCCTTGAGTGGCTGGCCCTGATCCAGGGATCGCTGCCATCCACGGCTGCAGAAGCTTCTCCTGCCACACTTGTGCCTAAACCAGATAGGAAAGTAAATCCGTTAACTGGACATTCTTTTACTGAGCAGAGAAAGGCCCATGGAGTGGCTGGAGCAGCAGGAGGTTTGGGGTGAGAGGTCCTCGAAGTGGTTCCCAAAGGACCAGCAGCATCAGCACCCCAAAGTCCTCATCACAGGTTCCCGGATTTCAGGAACTCTTGGGGTCTTTCAGCAGGCCTGTGGGTGATCCCAACATCAGTCATTTTACAAAGCTCAGGGGCACAGAGTGGCTACATATTGGAGGGACGCCTGGCTGTGAGAGAAGCAAGTAGGATGGCCTAATGGCAGTAGCTGAGCCTCGTGTCACCTGGGTGCCACATCGCCTGTGCCCTCTCCTTCAGCCCTGGCCTGGTGCTGGTCTGAGCTCTGGCAAGGAGACTCTGCAATGTCTTCTTCCTCCCCCTGATGGCTTCGTCCTCCTCTGGACCAGGCCGTCTCCTTCCTCAGTTAGCTACAGCTCAAGCACAGCTTCCGCAGCTTCTGGAAGTCAGAGAAGAGCCTCTGTCTCTCATTCTTGTAGTTGGAGAAACTGAGACACCAGCATAAAGTTGGAAGAAAATTGGAGCCTGCTGGCTCTGGGCCCAGGAAACTACCCCATGACAGATGACTTCAACTACGGGCAGACATGTCAGAAGCTCTGTCAGCAAATCTCCAGTTCTGGTCTTTCTAAGCCTTCCCCAGGGCTGAGTTCTCTCCACAACCCTTCCCAGTCCACTCCCCAAAGCCAGAAGCAGAATAATTTCCTGTTCAGTCCCCCAAGGCTGTCTCTTGACAGTTGTCTAAATCTCTGTCCTTGCAACCTCCTGAACCCCAACTCAGTACACAGACACCCTCTTAACTAATTTCAAATGTCCTTGGAGATCCTCTTTCCGTGGGTGGCCCAGCCTTCCCTGCCCAGCAAACTGGGGCCTTGCTGGAGTGGGGACTGTGGGCTGACAGGCGCCCCTGCCCTCGTCCAGGAGAATGACCAGAAGCGGATCCGCGCTCTGAAGAAGGCCAACAAGGAGCGAATGCTCAAGCGGCAGCGCATGCGGGAGCTGACCAAGGCCAAGCAGGAGTTGGGGGCCCTGCGGCTGGAGCACCAGCACCTGAGTTCCAAGCTGCAGGGCTACTCCGTCTTCAACAAGTACTTGGAGCAGGTGGTGGAGAGCTCTGAAGTGAGTACCAGGGCAAATGGGGAAGGGCCTTGGTGCCTAGCTCAGTCCCACGTCCCCTTTCCCAGGACCCGGGCTTGGGTGGGATGTCAGTCTCGGCTAGCTGGGATATGAAGTTCTATGGTGATGGTTGAGCTCTAGTGACCTAGTGACAAGAAGCTGCATTGTAATCTGAAGGCACATGGTTTGAGGCCACCAGCTGCTCTGCGGGAGAAGGATGGGCAATCTCATCCCGTGCAATTTAACTGCTTCTGAAAACCCACCAGAGTCGGCTATGGGTCGGTTCCAACTCGACGTTAAACAACAACTTGGTGATGGTCGCCTGGAGGACATCTAGACAATGACCCTGGACTTCAAAATGTTGAGATTTGTGTTCATGAGGCCCAACCAAGTCCACCTGCTGTCTTTTACACACTCTGAAGAAATGACGTCTCTATAGTGAACTAGGATAGAGCAAGAGTCTACAAGGGACTCCAATCCTAGGTTATAGAACAGCCATCCTGCTTCCTCTCCTTTTTCCTTTTCTTCTCCTTTTCTATCTGTCCTGAGCTTAATCTATGGTAGTTGGAAGGCCCAGGATATTCATGTGAGTTTTTCTTTCCCTCAGGGAATCTTGTATTCCACAGCATGAGGCCTGAAGATGAAGAGAAGTTGCTACTCTGGGCTAGGTGTTAGAAAGCTTGCAAGAAGCATTTGGAGTCTTTGGGTGCTTCATATGGTTAAAGGCTCAACAAGTAAACGGAAAGTTTAGAGGTTTGAACCCGCCCAGAGGCCTGGTGATCTGTTTCTGAAAGGCCTTGTGAAAAATCTGCTTGACAGTAACAAGTTTAGATTTTGGTTTTAGGATGCTTCCAATGTCACCCAATGTGTTACGGTTGCTGTTTGGACTTTAGTTTTATTTTCTTTCCTGTCATTAAATGGCACTTCGTATACAGCAGACACTTCCCTAAGGGCTCCTCACGATGACCCTATGAGGTAGTATTATTATTATTCACCTTGTACACATGAGAAAAACTCTCCCTCCTCTATCTAATTTTCTTTTCATGTGTTCACTCACTCTTCAGATTTGTTTTGTGTATCCCCACTACCTTCAGACCCAGTGTCCCTCCCTCCTTCCTGCGCCTTTCCCAGCCCTCTGCCTGGCTACATCCCAGAAGGCGTCGTCTACACTGGCAGTCCCCACAGCCTCACTACTTCCTCCTTGACTCAGCAGCCTGGCTTCTGCCACCCGTACCAGAGCCACTAGTGACCAAATCTGTGGGACTCATTTCTGTCCTTGGTCTGGCATTAGCTGCTGCTGGTCACCCACTCGTGGTTGGCTGCCTCTGTGACTGCTCCTTTGATGTCACCTATGTGACCACTTATCTCCATCCTCCCTTGGGGAGATTTGAGAGTATTCCGATAGCACAGGCTGTTATGTGTTGTACCGCTACACAAAAAGTCATCAGTTTGAATCCTTCCACCTGCTCTGGAGAAGAATGACAAGCAATGGCCACCATCAGTAAGAATCAGTGTCACAGACAATGGCAGGCATCATTGCGGTTTTCAGGGAGGTCGAGAGAGAATGACAGGAGACTGGGAAGAGCCGGCCTGTAGGGCTGGAGTTGGCCCATGGGGTCTGGTGTGTGTCTGTGTGAGTGACGTTGAAGTGTCCCTGTAAGGAGAAGTTGTGTATTTAGGTTTAGGATTGCATCTGCCACTGTTTATCTGAAGCCTCTTGTGTGTGTATCTGCTGAGGAATGGAGTTTTAGAATAGCAAAGCCAAGCTTTTGGAGCAGGCCTCTGCCTGCCCCAAGCTCTTCCTATCCCAGCCCCAGCTCTGAGTCCTTGGGAATAAAATAAGGAGAAGAATGAAAGGAACCTAGGAAAACACCCAGCCCAGGGTGGAGACAAAGACCCTTCTGCCTTGCCGGCGTGTGTATATGGCGGCGGGGCACAGGGCTGACAGATGGGGCGTCTTCAGCCTCATTAGCCTGCAGTGGGAGAAACGGAGGCTCCGAGAGACCAGGAGACACCGCTGGTCACCATGTCCCTGAAACTGCCCTTCTAAAATCATCTTGAAGCCATCTCCCACTCCTCCTGCTCAGGATTAAGCAGCGTTGGCATCAGGAATTCACCTGCACCCCACCTCCGTGGCCACTGCTTTCCTCTTCCTTCCAACTCTTCCATAACTCCTCATCTAGGCCCACCTGCCAATGATGTTCTTTGGGTCTTTGTCACAGACCTCCACTTTCTGCCCCCTGGCCCCCAGCAACTCCAGGGCTTCAAGTGCCGCCTATGTCCATGGTGTTTACCTGCAGCTCCACCTGGACACCCTGAGGGGCATGGCTGGCAGCAGCAACAGGGTTCCGTCCTGGAGGTGCTGGGACCCCTGGGGGTTGTGCATCAAAGCCCCATGGGAAATGGGCTGTGGGAGAGACGCAGGTGTGCAGCTTTCTGAAGTCCCTCGGTGTTCCCGTTGCCTAGTGCTGCTCTAACACAAATACTACAAGCAAATGACTTTCAAGAATAGAAATTTATTTTCTCACAGTTCTGAAAACTAACAGTTCAAATCATAGTCTTGGGTGTGCAGATGCCTTGCTTTCAGGTTGTCTCAGATATCTTAGACCTTAGCTGCTCATGAGCCTCACTTCACATCTGTCTACCTCCCCTGTCCCTCTTAGGCTTATCTATGTCTAGTCTGATCTGTTACAGCTCAGAAGTAATTAGACCTACAATCTGGATGGCAAGACCTAAGATTTTTTTTCTTTTTTTTAGTTTTTATTTCCAAACGGACTCCCATCCCAGGTTTTTTTTAGGCGCTATCAAGTTGACAGGACTTACTCCAACCTCCCAGTCTCTGATATATGTCCCAGCCCGCTGTTAAAGTCATTGTTTTAGTTGACTTGTTGAAGGTCTTCATCTCTTTCTCTGACCCTCCCTCCTCGCCACCTTGATGTCCTTTTCCAAGGGCTGACCTCTCCTGACAACATGTCCAAAGTATGTGAAATCAACTTTTACTATCTTTGCCTCCAAGGATCACTCTGTTTGTTCTTCCTCCAAGACTTGTTTGCTTTTTAAGGCAGTCCATAGTGTATATCCAGTATTCTTTGCTAACATCATGATTCAAAGGCATTGATTCTTCTTTTGTCATCCTTGATCACTGTCTTTCAAATGTATAGAAAGTAATTGAAAATACCATGACTTGGATCAGGTGCACCTTAGTCTTTAAACTGTCATCGTTACTCTTTAGCACTTTGGAGAAAGTCCTTGACAGTAGATTTTCACTTCTTGGCTGCTGGTATTGAAAATCCCCGCTGGTATTATGAGTGTTAATTATGGATCCAAGAAACATTAAATCCTTGACAACTTCAATCTTTTCTTTAACCATGCTGTTGTTATTAAGTGTCCTTGAGTGTACTACCACTCATAGCAACTTTATGACAATGAATCTGAACCTTACCCTATCCTGTGCCATACTGGCCATCTATGACATATTCAAGCCTACAGTTAAAGTCAGTCTATAAATCCATCTCCTTGGGAGTCTTTCCTTCCTTCACTGATTATCTTTTCAAGCATGATGTCCTTTTCCAAGGACTTGTCCCTTCTAACAACATGCCCAAAATATGTGAGAAGTTTCATTCTTGTCTCCAAGAAGGACCCTGGCTACACCTTTTCCAAGACATATTTGTTTGTCATTTTGGCCGTCCATGGAATATTCAACACTTTTCTTCAATATCACAACTCAAAGTCATCCATTCTTCTTTCATCTTTATCCACTGTCCAACTTTTAGCTGCATAGCAATTAGTTGAAAAGATTATGATTTGAATAAAGTACACCTTCAGCTTTTATCATTGCCGCCTTTCAATACTTTGGAGAGGGCCCTGACTGCAGACTTTCCAATGCACTATGTTCTTTTGATTTCCTCACTGCTTGTGCCAAGGGTGTTGATTGTGGATCCAAGCAATATGAAATTATTGACAATTTCTCTCTTCTCCATCAAACATAATGTTACTTACTGGCCTGGTAATAAGGATTTTTCTTTTCTTGATGTTGTGATGTAACCCATATTGAAGGCTCTGACCTTCTGTGGCAAGTGTTTCAAGTTCTCATTTTCAGCAAGCAAGGTTGTGTCATCTGCATAACGCAGGTTATTGATAAGTCTTCCTCCAAGCCTGATGCTACATTCTTGTTCATATACTCCAGCTTCTCGAATGATTTGTTCTGCATACAGATTGAATAGGTATGGAGAAAGGATGAAGCCCTGACACACCGTTCTTCACTTTAAAAAATCCAAGATTTTGAGGGAGCTCTGGTGGCTTAGTGGCAAGAAGCTGCACTGTAAATCCCAAAGATGCATGGTTCAAATCCACCAGATCCTCCGCTGGAGAAGGAGGGGCAGTCTCCTTATGTGCCAGTCAGATATGATTTGATGATACATGAGAGAAAAAAAAAATACAGGATTTCCTTGTTCTGCTCATACAACAGCTTCTTGGTCAAGGCATAGGCATAAGCACAATTTAGTGTTCTGAGATTCCCTTTCTTCTCAATGTCAACCATAATTTGGTATGATTCCCACCGTCAAAAGCCTTTGCATAATCACAAAACACAAATAGACCTCCTTTGTTTTTAAATCTAGCCTGAATTTCTGGCAGTTCTCTATGTACTGTTCTAGCCACTTCAAAAATAATCTTCAGCAAGATATTACTTGCTTCTGATATTAATGATGTTGTTCTGTAACTGTCATATTCTGTTGCATCACTTTTTCTGAGAATGGGAAGAAATATGGATCTTTTCCAGGTAGCCATCCTCCAAGTTTCCTGGCATAGACTCATGAACGAGTCCAGAGCTACATCTGATTGTTGAAATACGTCACTTGGATCTCATCAATTGCCAGGCCCTATTTTTCTCTAATGCCTTCAATGCAGCTTGAACTTCACTCATCACCATTGTTTCCATATTATATGCTATTTCCTGAAATGGTTCTGTATCCACCAATTCTTTACAGTGCAGTGACTCATTG